CCCTTTCTGCCTCTTTTGGTCAATCACTCACTCACCACTCACTCCCTCTACTGACTCACTCGCACATGCTTATATGAGCCAAATGAAAGATTCAAGTTACGTCGTTTCCATGTTTGTGAGCTCAGGCAGTGTGTCTCGGTGATAATGCTGCTCTGGTGGTTTCAGGCAGGATTGATGTTCAAGCGACCAGCGGACCGCAGTCGCCATTCGATACTCATGGAGTAGCGCCGTCCCAGTCCCAATAGCATCTACTAATGTTTTGAAACTTTTGATTGACATGCACCTGTCCGAACTCACCTACATTGATGATCTACAGTGATGATTCAGTGGGATGGCCCATGGTGTGTCTGGTTTGTCATCAGAGCTATTGCACGAGCTGGGATCTCAGTGTGCTTAAGTTCTTTTCAAAGTTGTACATTTCAATTAGAACAGACATGTGGCAGGTCCCCGTGGATGCAGCCGCCAAGGACACCGTCACGAACCACGGGAAATACAGCATGCCGGAAGAGGCACGTAGCTCCACAGTTTGGATGAACACTTTACCGGCATCATCCGAGGTCGCAGCCACCCAATGCGACGAAGAGATTTGAGCTGTTGTTTGCTCCGCAGCAGTCAGTCGGAGACTGGTCTTCAAAAGTGTGTTGCTGATTTTCCTAGCTCCGCGTGCTTGGGGCAACTTGGCTGTTCCGAAGCAAGGCATGACGATTTATCAACTCAGCTCATTCAGATTGATTGCTTGTGAGTTTATCATGGCTTGTTTTTGCATGCTGCGTCTCCTGAGGTCATGCTGCTGGTCTATGCCACTTCGAGAACCACAACCACGCACTCACACCTCCCTCACTCACTCCCTCCCTCCCTCACTCATTCACTCACTCATTCACTCACTCACTCACTCACTCACTCACTCACTCACTCACACACTCACTCACTCACTCACTCACTCACTCACTCACTCACTCACTCACTCACTCACTCACCTCACTCACCTCACTCACTTCACTCACTCCACTCACTCCACTCACTCCACTCACTCCACTCACTCCACTCACTCCACTCACTCCACTCACTCCACTCACTCCACTCACTCACTCACTCACTCACTCACGCACTCACGCACTCACGCACTCACGCACTCACGCACTCACGCACTCACGCACTCACGCACTCACGCACTCACGCACTCACGCACTCACGCACTCACGCACTCACGCACTCACGCACTCACGCACTCACGCACTCACGCACTCACGCACTCACTCACTCACTCCCTCCCTCCCTCTCCTGGATTCAGAAACCTGGTCAATTCTGGGAGTCTGGATTAAATTTCTTAAAAGCAGAGAAAGGGAAGGTATGGGGGAGGTATGAACCAACAATAGTTTTTTTTGTTTTTGATTTTGAAAGGTCTTATTTCTGTTTTATCACAAACTAGACAATTTCTTCCTTTTCTTCCATTACATGTTTGTCTATTTGTTTCCTCTTCATTCACCTCTTCCTTTCAGTTTCCAAGATTGACAAAAACCATTTGTGGGTCTGAAACCAGTCTGAAACAGGTCTGAAACCACAAACATCTTTGTATTCTCAGCACTTCGCCCATTCGTTTTTGTCCTTGTTCTTTTTGTTTTTTTCATTTTCCTTTTGTTTCTCTTTTTCCAGGTATTTTTGGCTTTCCCTTGTGTTTCTCCTTTTTCATTTCTATTTCCTGTTCTTGTTGCCTTTACTTTAAATGTTCGTTTTACTTATCCCTTTCCATTTCTTTTTCCTGTTCTTTTTCATTTTTTCCCGTTCATTTTTCATTTTTTGTTCCTTTTGATTCTCTTTTTCCTTTTGGTTTTGCATCGCGCGCCCCCCCGCGCACAGTCGACGTGCCGACGACACAGGGAAAAACATGACTAAAGGTTTGCAACAAGTCTGAAACCAGTCTGAAACAGCTTGCCCCCAGACAGAAGGGAACCCTTTCCCCTCACTTACTGGCTGAGCATAGCATCTTTGTTCCCTGCTTACCTCCCGCGTCCTTGCATCCTTCGGGTGGAAATTTGAAAACGCATGATTTTTGTCAAAGGTTCTGCCCTTGGTAGCAGAACCCTCTTGGGATCCATTCTCATCACCAGCTTTTGTCCCTACAGTACATATACCACCTTTTAGGTACAATTAGTTCTTAAGTCAGAATCATTGGTCATAAAACTTGGGTTGCTTTCAAGAAACCCAAGAAATCCAACTTGTTGCACCTGTTTTTGACTACGCTATTGTTTATGTTTGGAAATATTCAAAATCGAGGAACAAATCCGGCCGAGAGTCTTCGTAATTTACCGCCACCAACATCCACCAACATCGAGGGTCTGATTTCTTGTCTAATCGAAGGAAGTTTAGAAGCCAAACTTCCGACAATATGGACAGATGAAAAGCAGAGCAGGGAAGAGGCAGAGAGAAGAGAAAGATTACAAGAAAGAAGAGTAGAAGAGAAAGAGTAAGAAGAAAGAAGATGCAGATGCATGAAAAGGTAGGAAAGTCGCGAAACACTGTGTTTTCCCAATGATTTGGGGCTCCGGAGGGTCGAAAAGTAGGCTCGCTAAAGCGGCGGGTGCGGAGACATCCGGGGAGATGAGAGATGAACAAATGCACGCCGTTGTGGCGCGAAGCCGATTTCGAAGTGAAAAGGTACAAAGCACTTTCGGAAGTTGAGATGTTGAAAAAGTGCACGGCGTTGTGGCGCGAGGCAGATTTGGAAGTAAAATGTGTTAAAAACTGAGGGGTTCGGAGCAGTTTTGGAAGTTGAGATGACGAAAAAGTGCACGCCGTTGTGGCACGAAGCACATTTCCAAGTCAAAATGTACAAAGCAGACCATGGTCGGAGCACTTGTGGAAGTTGAGATGTCGAAAAAGTGCACGCCGTTGTGGCGCGAAGCACATTTGGAAGTCAAAATGTACAAAACACACCATGGTCGGACCACTTCTGGAAGTTGAGATGTCGAAAAGGTGCACGCCGTTGTGGCGCGAGCACATTTCGAAGTCAAAATGTACAAAACACTAGGGGTTCGGACCACTTTTGGAAGTTCAGATCTCGAAAAAGTGCACGCCGTTGTGGCGCGAAGCACATTTCGAAGTCAAAATGTTAAAAACACATGGGGTTCGGACCGCTTTTGGAGGTTCAGATGTCGCTTCGCGTCGCTTCACTACACTACACGACATTACACTCCACTACACTACACTACATTACACTACACTACACTCCACTACAACTAGAACTACAACTACACAACTACACTCCACTACACTAAATTACACCCCGCTACACTCCACTACACTAAATTACACTACACTACACTCCACAACACTACACGACACTACATTACACTACACTCCACTCCACTCCACTCCACTACACTACATCACACTACAGTACACTACACTACCTTCCACTACACTTCACTACATTACATTACACTACACTACACTCCACTACACTACAACTACAACTACAACTACAACTACACAACTACACTCCACTACACTCCACTACACTACACTACATTGCACTAGACTACATTACACTACACTACACTACGCTACCTTCCACTACACTTCACTACATTACACTACACTACACTCCACTACACTACACTACAAATACAACTACACAACTAAACAACTACACAACTACACTCCACTACACTTCACTACACTCCACTACACTCCACTAAACTCCACTACACTACACTACATTACATTACACTACACTCCACTACACTAAATTACACTACACTACACTCCACAACACTACAACTACCACTACACAACTACACTCCACTACACTCCACTACCCTCCACTACACTAAATTACACTACACTACACTACATTCACTACACTCCACTAACTACATTACACTACACTACACTACCTTCCACTACACTTCACTACTTTACTCTACACTACACTCCGCTACACTACAACTACAACTACACAACTACACTCCACTACACTCCACTACACTCCACTACACTCCACTACACTAAATTACACTACACTACACTACATTACACCACACCACACTCCACTACACTACATTACACTACACTACACTACACTACCTTCCACTGCACTCCACTACACTAAATTACACTACACTACATTACACTACACTACATTCCACTACACTCCACTACACTACACTACATTACACTACACTACATTACACTGAATGACACTGCACCACAGGTAGACAGGTAGACAGATAGACAGATAGATAGATAGGTAGACAGATAGACAGGTAGACAGCTAGACAGATAGACAGATGAATGCGAGAGAGAGAGAGAGATAGATAGATAGACAGATAGATAGATAGACAGATAGACAGGTAGACAGCTAGACTGATAGACAGATGAAAGAGAGAGAGAGAGATAGATAGATAGATAGAAAGATAGGTAGATAGATAGATCGATAAATACATAGGTAGATAGATAGATAGGTAGGTAGGTGGGTAGATAGTCAGAGAAAGAGAGAGAAAGAGAGGAGACATCAATCACCTTTCGGTCCATCAGTGGCTTGGCTCTGCCATCCGTGATTCACAACAACCAACCTCTCCTATAGGTTTCCTATTTTTGAAACTTCCGCCACCGCCTTGTGCGGTACTACTGGTAAGGTTTCTTAACACAACTCTCAGCCGTACTCATACAAGGATGTGCCCCTGATATTCATGTAACCAGGTCCCTGCGTTTTATCCTCAGTGAAGCCCTAGGAATCACCCCCCAAATATGGGAGATCGAACCATAGTTGAAAGCTGCACGTAAGTGTATGTTTTACATTGTTTTACTGGGAGGGGCGCTGGGGCACATAAGTGTACTTAGCTATGGCAGCTATGCCATCAATCACTAGTAGGACAAGAGTCCAGGATGATTTGATTTTTGCCTCGTCATCCTGTGTTGCACCAATCCATTGCCTTTTTGAAGCTTCCCAAGACAACCCGGGTTGCCACGGTCAGCCCACGGCACCAGCCGCAGCCCAGGCACGTCTTGTGCCCTTATTGCACCGTGGAACGACAGCCACTCTGCGCGGTGAAAACGCATCAAGGTTTTGAGGCTTCGGTCTACTTGGCCTTCATCGTCTATAACTTTGATCGCTTGCCAAGGAGTTGGATGTGGGTCATGGCACCCTGTACCCTTGCTTTGTGAACCTGAAGGTTGATGGTCATCCCCAAACAACCACATGGTTGGTAGGTTTTGACCCATGGCCAGTTGATCGGAGTTGATACGACAAACTGATGGTGTTTCGAAGATGAAGGATGGAGATATGGAGGTATGATCTGATATAGGTTGAACATGGTTGAACATGGTAGAACCTCAAGACTTGCAATCTTCAGTTTTGCAGTCTTTTAGCAAAATAAACGTCACTCACACAATGGCATGTTAGCGCTTTGAAGGAGCAGGGACGTGGTTTGATAATTAAGGAGTCATGATTATGGTAATTATGGTTGACAATGTCTGATATTGGTTGATATTGAATCTAATATTGATGCTTGTTGATATTGGTTTACGATGGGTATCGGTTGATTTTTTGTATCAACAGATGTTTGATACTTGATGCTTAGAGAATTATGGTTGATACTGATTGATCATGATCACCTGATGAACTGCGATTATGGAAAGGCAGTTCATGAACTGCAAATCACATGGTACTGCCTACAAGACTAACATGCAATGACAAAAGGATGTCATGAAGCCTTGGCAAAGGGATGTCCTTAACAACATGGAGCTGTGACTGCAAATTCCATGGCATAAACAGACCAAGCCTTGACTCAGCCCCTGCCTCTACGGCCACTGGAAGGTTTAGTCGGTATTGAAATGGCTTGAAATACTACCCTGGATAAGATTAACATGGAACCTGAAAGGAAGCCCTTGGAAAATGATTTTCCTCTACAACATGGCCATTTTCAGGTTCCATGTTAACCTTACCAGGTGTACATCAATGGAGTGTCTTGGCAAATACGTTTGGGATCATTCTGAGTGGCCTAAAAGGGATGCACCATTTTAAAGTAAGTTTACTTGAGCAGATGATGGCAAGACAGGCGTGTTGTGCCACATACCCACAGATGGCTGATTTTCAATGGTAGCCTTGTCATCAACTATTTCTTTCCATGACTTTCCAGCTTAAGGCCTTTCAAGGCTCCCTGATCCCACACAAATCTGAAGCAACTTAGAAAAGATCCTAGATGTGACCTTCCCAGATGTTGCCTTGAGGACCGTGGCCTTTGTTCATGGTCACCCATGGATACAACATCACAAAGCGCCAATAGCCGGATGTACCAACTGGGCACGACTGTTGCGACTGCGACCGTTCTTAAACGAAGACATTTTCGTGTATTTGCAGGGTTCGAGTTGGTTTGGCCGCGTCAACTTGACCAATTCAAAACCAATATGGGAGAATGTCTTAGGCTTGCCATTTCCTGACGTCACTTGGTGGAAGTGGATCGACCCGAATCGAAGGGTTCCCATGGAGGTCAACAGAACAGATCAGGTGAAAGTCGTGGGCCCTGGTTCTTCCCAGTGCAAGATCACCTTGTGTTTAAATCCCACCAAGGTCACTGAGACATTCCTCAAGGGAACTTTGAAGAAGCTGGTGTGCGGGGTGGAAAAAATGAGACAGGCTAGGCATAGATATGTTTTTTTTTCTTCTGGTGTTTGATTGTTGCAGGCCTAACTTTGGTGTTGTGGTCAAACAGCTTACTTCACAAGCATCTATTTCTCGGGGCGGTGTGACTTGGTATGAGAAACTGTTCGCATTCACTAAGTCAAATGGAGACAAGAGCAGCAGCAACAGCAACAGCAACAGCAACAGCAACAACAACAACAACAACAGCAACAGCAGCAACAGCAGCAACAGCAACAGCAGCAACAGCAGCAACACAACAGCAACACAACAGCAAGAACAGCAAGAACAGCAGTGACAGCAGCAACAGCAGCAACAGCAACAGCAGCAACAGCAGCAACAGCAGCAACAGAAGCAACAGCAGCAACACAACAGCAAGACAACAGCAACACAACAGCAACAACAGCAAGAACAGCAACAGCAACCCGCAACCACATCCACAACCACAAGGACAACAACCACAACGAAAACAACCACAATGAGAACGACATCTACATCTACACCCACATCCACAACAGCAGCAACAGAAACACCAACCAACAATCCACAAGCAAAACGGACAGCAAAATTAAGGTCCAAGCATCAACATTCCATGTTGGTCCGCACATTGTGGTGGGCCGCAACAAGATCCGATCACGCCCCAAAGAACTGTACGAGAGACTCTTTGCCTATGCTCGAGGGGACGACTATCCTGGATCGGATCTGAGCGTGGATGAAGATGGAAAGGCCTTTGGAAACGGGCACATCGCTGCCGGAGACTTCAGTCTGGAGATCTGGTGGAATTTGATTTTTAATCAGAATCAGTCCTGGCAACATCCTGATGACCCGAAGGGCTTGCGATGCAAACTGGGTTGGTGCCACGACAAGCAATGTTGACATGTCAGGTCTTCTAGCCTTTCCAGAGGTCACCGACCTCGCGTTAGGGTACGTCTTCATTACGAAAGTTATCTTCTAATGACGAAAGAAGTTCTTTAATTACGAAAACACATCAATCATCTAATTGCGAAAAGAACCCTTTAAATGCGAAAGAATCATCTAATTGCGAAATCATTCCAAGGAATTGAGCAATGTATATATATATATTGATTTATGCTATACTCTGGCTATCTATCTATCTATCTATCTATATATATACTCTGGCTCTCTCTCTCTATATATATATACATATATACTCTGGCTATATATATATATAAATATACTCTGGCTATATTATATATGTATATATACTCTGGCTATAGATACATATTTATTTGAAGAAACTCCTTCGGATCTGGGATATTGTGATTACGCCTTCGGATCTGGGATATTGTGATTTCTGAAATGCAGATCCTTGTCTCAGAATAGTTTGGCAACAGCGTTTTGAATTTATATATATATATGTATTATATTTTATACATAGAATTGCTAGAATCAGCAGAGAGAAGACTACTTGGCTGTACATCGAAGAAGGCCCCTGTAACCTCCCGTAACCTCCTGGGCAGGATGCCAAAATCAAGTTCCAGGTGAACTCCTCCCGGAACCTTCCGTGACCTTCCCATAACCTCCTGGCCAGGATTTGGCTCAAAAGGGCCGTTTCCCCATGATTCCAGAAGAGAAACTCAATAGCCGGCCGAGGGGCCGCCAAATGACAGAAATTTGCAGACACAGACAGACACAAAAACAGAGAAAAACAGACAAAAACCTGTGCAAGCAACATACCAGGTTTTTAGTTTCGACTGTGTAGGACAGAGCAGAGAGCGAGAAAGAGACAGCCAAGAGCCTCCCGTAACCTCCCGTAACCTCCCGTAACCTCCCGTAACCTCCCGTAACCTCCGGTAACCTCTCGTAACCCCCGTAACCTCCCACACAGACAGACACAGACAGAAAGAGACAGCCAAGATCCTCCCGCAACCTCCCGTAACCTCATGTAACCTCCCGTAACCTCCCGTAACCTCCCCTAACCTCCCCTAACCTCCCACACAGACAGACACAGACAGAAAGAGACAGCCAAGATCCTCCCGTAACCTCCCGTAACCTCCCGTAACTTCCCGTAACATCCCGTAACAGACGCAGACACACAGAGACAGAGAGAGAGAGAGAGACAGACACAGACAGCCAAGAGTCCTCCTAGATATATATATATATAGATAGATAGATAGATATAGATAGATAGATAGATAGATCGATAGATAGATAGATAGATAGATATAGATAGATGTAGATGTAGATAGATATAGATACAGACAGGTATAGATATAGATATAGATAGATAGATAGACATAGATAGATATAGATATAGATAGATATAGAAATAGATAGATATAGATAGATATAGATACTTCCCGTAATAGACACAGACAGAAAGAGACAGCCAAGATCCTCCTTTAACTTCCAGTAACTCCCATAACCTCCAGTACTACAAAGACAGACACAGACAGACAGAAAAGAACCTGTGCAAGCAACGTAACAGGTTTCTAGTGTCGACTGTGAAGAAAACTTTACACAACAAGGAAAACTTACATACATGCATTCATTGATTCGTGTATATATAGTACCGCGCAAGGCGGTGGCGGAAGTTTCAACTACGGAAGCAACAGCAGCGCAGCATGTTGGAAAAACAAAACTTTGCTCAAGCTCCGCAAGAAACCCAAAACTTTGATAACACGACTCCTTGCACAAGGAAGCTAGTGAAATTTGAACCCACAACCATTCTGTTTTCACCACTAGACTACAGGGCTGAATCACAAAATGTTAACTCTGGGCTCATGATTGCTGATGGTGGCGGGCGGAGAAGGCGGCTGTTGCCTTGGGTTGCTGCTGTTGTGTGCTGCTATGCTCTGCTGGCTGCTATGCTCTGCTGGGTGCTCTCCTTGCTTAGCTCTCCGTAACCTCCCGTAACCTCCCGTAACAGACAGGCACAGACAGAAAGAGACAGCCAAGATCCTCCCGTAACCGCCCGTCAGACACAGACAGAAAGAGACAGCCAAGATCCTCGCGTAACCTCCCGGCCAGGATTTGGCCCAAAACGGCCGTTCCAAATGATTCCAGAAGAGAAACTCAATAGCCGGCCGAGGGGCCGCCAAATGACAGAAATTTGCAGACAAAGACAGACACAAAAACAGAGAAAAACAGACAAAAACCTGCGCAAGCAACATAACAGGTTTTTAGTTTCGACTGTGTAGGACAGAGCACAGACAGAGAGAAAGAGACAGCCGAGAGCCTCCCGTAACCTCCCGTAACCTCCCGTAACCTCTCGTAACCTCCCGCAACCTCCTGCAACCTCCCGTAATCTCCCGCAACCTCCCGTAACCTCCCACACAGACAGACACAGACAGAAAGAGACAGCCAAGATCCTCCCGTAACCTCCCGTAACCTCATGTAACCTCCCGTAACCTCCAGTAACATCCCGTAACAGACACAGACAGACAGACACAGACAGCCAAGAGCCTCCCGTAACCGTAACCTCCCGTACCTCCCGTAACCTCCCGCAACCTCCAGTAATTTCCCGTAACCTCCCGTACGTAACCTCCCGTAACCCCCCGTAACCTCCCGTAACCTCCCGTAACCTCCCGTAACCCCCCGTAACCCCCCGTAACCTCCGCAGCATCAGATTGCTGCCATTTTCACCACTAGACTACAGGGCCGAATCACAAAATGTTAACTCTGGGAGCTAGGGCCGAATCACGAAATTTACGTCTATATTGGTGAGCTGCGATGAACTTTGAGGACAAACAACAGTAGTTCGTATGTGCTATTTCTATCTATATCTATCTATATCTATCTATATCTATATCTATCTATATCTATCTACATCTATCTATATCTATCTATATCTATATCTATCTATATCGATCTATATCTATCTATATTTATCTATATCTATCCATATCTATCTATATCTATATCTATCTATATCTATATCTATCTATATCTATATCTATGTCTATATCCATATCTATATCTATATCTATCTAAATCTATGTACATCTATATCTATCTACATCTATCTATCTCTATCTAGGAGGACTCTTGGCTGTCTGTGTCTGTCTCTCTCTGCCTGTGTCTGTTACGGGATGTTACGGGAGGTTACGGGAGGTTACGGGAGGTTACGGGAGGATCTTGGCTGTCTCTTTCTGTCTGTGTCTGTCTGTGGGAGGTTACGGGAGGTTACGGGAGGTTACGGGAGGTTACGGGAGGTTACGGGAGGTTACGGGAGGTTACGAGAGGTTACGGGAGGTTACGGGAGGTTACGGGAGGTTACGGGAGGTTACGGGAGGTTACGGGAGGTTACGGGAGGTTACGGGAGGTTACGGAGAGCTAAGCAAGGAGAGCACCCAGCAGAGCATAGCAGCCAGCAGAGCACAGCAGCCAGCAGAGCACACAACAGCAGCAACCCAAGGCAACAGCCGCCTTCTCCGCCCGCCACCATCAGCAATGATGAGCCCAGAGTTAACATTTTGTGATTCAGCCCTGTAGTCTAGTGGTGAAAATGGCAGCAATCTGATGCTGCGGCAGAATGGTTGTGGGTTCACATCCCACTAGGTTCCTTGTGCAAGAAGTCGTGTGATCAAAGTTTTGGGTTTCTTGCGGAGCTTGAGTTTTGTTTTCCCAACATGCTGCGTTGTTGTTGCTTCCGTAGTTGAAACTTCCGCCACCGCCTTGCGCGGTACTATATATACATGAATCAATGAAATTCAATGAATACATGTATGTAAGTTTTCCTTGTTGTGTAAAGTTTTCTTCACAGCCGACACTAAAAACCTGCTACGTTGCTTGCACAGGTTCTTTTCTGTCTGTTTGTGTCTGTCTTTGTAGTACTGGAGGTTATGGGAGTTACTGGAGGTTACGGGAGGATCTTGGCTGTCTCTTTCTGTTTGTGTCCATTACGGGAGGTATCTATATCTATCTATATCTATCTATATCTAGCTATATCTATCTATATCTATCTATATCTATCTATATATATCTATATCTATCTATATCTATCTATATCTATCTATATCTATCTATATCTATATCGATCTCTCTGTCTGTTTCTATCTATATCTACATCAATATCTATATCTATCTATAGCTATATCTATCTATATCTATATCTATATCTAGATCTATTTCTATATCTATATCTAAATCTATCTGTATCTATATATCTATATCTATATCTTTCTATATCGATATCTATCTAGGAGGACTCTTGGCTGTCTGTGTCTGTCTGTGTCTGTCTGTGTCTGTTTCGGGATGTTACGGGATGTTACGGGAGGTTACGGGAGGATCTTGGCTGTCTCTTTCTGTCTGTGTCTGTCTGTGTGGGAGGTTACAGGAGGTTACGGGAGGTTACCGGAGGGATGTGGTTCCGGATGGTTACGGGAGGTTGCGGGTTACGGCGGTTACAGGAGGTCACGGGAGGTTACGGGAAGTTATGGTAGGTTACCGATGGTTACGGATGGTTACGGGAGGTTGCGGGAGGTCACGGAAGGTTTCGGGAGGTTACGGGGGGTAACGGGAGGTTGCAGGAGGAGACTAGCTCCTTGAAGGTTACGGGTGGTTACGGGAGGTTAAGGATAGTGACAGGAGCTTGGGTTACGGAAAGTTACGGAATGTAATGGAAGGTTACGGGAGGGGACGGAAAGTTACGGGAGGTTACGGGAGGTTACGGAAGGTTACGGGTGACAGGAGCTTAGGTTATGGAGGTTACGGGAGGTCACGGGAGGTTACGGAAGGTTACGGGAGGTTACATGAGGTTACTGCCGCGCCACTCCCGTGCCGCTCCCATGCCACTTCTGTACCATGTCTGCCACTTTCCCGTTAAACTGCCGTGCCACTCCAGTGCCACCATTATCCCTTCTATACCATTCCGTTCCCTACAGGCATATTATAGTTATTTGTTTCGATGGTTCCATGCCCTTGATTTCTTTCGCATTTAAAGGTTTTTTTTCGCAATTAAAGAGTTTTTTTTCGTAGTTAGAGATCCGGTTTCTTTCGCAATTAAACCGTACTCTCCCCTCGCGTGGAAGAGGATCCGAGCTGTTGGCATTT